TTATAATTACAGTATAGCGCAACACCAATAAATAAAGCCTAAGTCAAAACTCAATAATAATTTAGCAATTAAAACAATAATTCTTTACCACAAGACAATAATTACAAATTATAATAATAATTTATCAAAAAATGATAAAATAGAATAATAAAATTCTTGATTTTCCAAAAACATTAGTACATTACTTGAAAGTTACAATTTATAAAAGGATTTAAGAACTCAATTAAAAAGAAACTCTTTTATCCAAAAAAAGAATTGAAAACATATGATATTATTGTACACCAAGTTTAGAAGTTAAAGAATATAATGTTAATTAAAGAATACTTCAGATGGATGAACAAAAACAAGTAATTAAGTAGAGTTAACTACCTCAAAAAACTGAATATGGTGGCAAGCCAGGCTCTGCAACTTTTATTCTCCTTTACTAAATATATTTTATTTAACGTTCTAAGATCGAGGGACAAATAAATATACTAAATGTTTTTAATTTTAAAATTTAACATAATATTTTTTTTAATATTTTAGGGAGGGCCTGGGCCCAATTAGCCCCCTATCTCCACCACTGTTTTAATGACAGATCTAAGATTAATTTAGGAAGAAAATTTTCATATATAGAAATGTTCATTGTTATTGGGTTAAACTTCAATTTTGATATAGATTGTTTATTTGGTCTTAAAACTAAATAAATTTTTATTTAGGCCTTTAAAGTTTTAGAATTTTTTTATTTTTTTAAATGAAAGAAAAATTAATATTATTAACAAGCCGTTTAAATAGTTAAATATCATTCTGGTTTTTTTTTTTTTTTTGAACATATTTGCAAGGGACGGGTTTCGAACCCAGTCCGGGTAGGGAAGAATGCATCGGGGTGGCTATTGCCACTAGCCCTCAAGGGCCAGGTGCAAATATCATTCTGGTTTGGATTTTAGTTAAAAAAAAAACTTATAATTCAGTCAAACTTAATTTCGTTGATTATAATTTCAGTCACTTTTAAATATCTTTATGATTACAAATTTTTCCGCCCGCTCCTTGTTGAGAAGTACCTTTCCTTTTTTTTATTTGCTGGTGGATATTAAGAGTTCGTTTGGAACTGCTTCTTAATACTTTAATTTTTAATTATTATGTTTTTTTATTA